CGCAGAGGCCTGTGGCCCGCGGGGGACCTCGCGCCGTGCGACGCCTCAAATGTTACCTACCGAAAGCCTCGCAGGAGAAGAATTTGGTCACTTTTTGTGAAGTGTTGCCTTTTAAAATGCCTGGAATAAACCCTCCATTCTCTGTGTGAAAGGATGGAAGATTACCCATTCCCTACGTATGTGTTCCAGGAGCAGGAACGTGAAGCTTTTGCACTTCTCTCTAATTTTGTTTGGTGGACACACATCTGTACTGCAGAGCAGCTATTGGTTGATTTGTCAGAGCTACAGAATTCTTCTGCTGAATTACTGTGGCAAACATTTATGTGTAAGAATTGAGTTGCTCTTTTGACCGAGACTGGATATCCTGAAGCTCCTGCTCTTCTTTTGCTTTGATATCTTGGTAGGCCTGCATTTTGCTTGCATCCTTTAAGTAGGCCCAGTTAGAAGACAGTATCATGAGGAAGTGGATCTGGAAGAGAAGGGTGAGCATGATGGCTAGTGAGCATGTCAAGAGGCAAAGCAAGCTGCTAGTCCGATTAATAGATGCTCTTTAAAATAACGACCAAAAAAAAAAAAAGTTACTCTACGTTAATAAGCATTCTGTTATTAAAACAAGCACGGAGCCTATTTTCAAAGATCTCTAGAATTTGGCATGCTAACATTTCAGTCGGTTATTCACAGTTTAGAGGAAGTTAGTGTTACAGTGATACAACGAGCTACAGAGTTGTACAGATCAATTAAAATGCAGCATGGGGGGGAAGTGGGAAAAAAGTCTTGTCCGTGGCGGCTGATGCAGTCTGTAAGCTACGAGGTGCTCAGAAGAACTGCTTCCTAAGGCTGTGGTGCTTATGCACATCCAGGCCCAGATCCTGGTTATTCTTTTCCCCCAACAAGCAGATGAGAATTCCACCCTCCCCCTGGAAAAAGCCTGAAACTGTAAACAGTTTTATTTACGTGAACAAGGCTACAGTAACACTGAAAAATTAGACAACAAAACGTGAGTCCAAAACTAAGCAAAAGCATGCAATTTTTGGGTTAAGGAGTCTTAATCTTGTATTTTTCTAACTACATTTTAAACTTCCATTGTCCAACCTCAGCTGAAGAGTTTTATGCCACATGTAGCAACTGGTTCTTTTTTGTAAAATTTATTATTATCATTATCACTGTGTAGATTTTTCCTAGTTTGTGCATTCGTCTCTTCCCAGACTCTTTCCACCATCCTTCACACAAGAAATCTACCTCTGAAAACACTGATTCAGGTCTCCCGTTTTCACCCCAACAGTGTAAGAAGGTCTCCATGACCTCTGCATGGTTTTGCTTCCCGTGCAGTCATACTTACAGTTCTGAGATCTGGCTACTGAGGAATCAGTTACTAAAGTGCAAGCCGTAGGAGAACAGGCACCATTTATCTATACACTGTTTCTTACCTAGTCCAGGGTCCAAAAGAAAGAATGTGATTGTTTTACGCAGAGCTAAGACAAGGAAATATTTCCTTCCAGAGAAAGCATGATTTGGCAATTGCTTAAAAATTAAGTAAAAGAAAAGAATCTTTCTTTACCATCCGTGCAGTGGAAATAGAAGCCAACGAATTCATAATACCCGGGCTTCTGATTTCTGCCCAGAGACCAGCACGACTTTCCCATTCCTCCTCCTCTTTTGTATCGTTTGTATTTCGTACGTGCGGGGGCGTTGTGTTTGGTGTTCAGGATGAAGAATAAACAGATAATTCTAACCCTGAACTGCTCCAGTGTTTGTTTTAGAGATGTCTGTTCGAAAGCAAACGGAGACTTGAAATGGAAACCTCCCATCCTCAGAAGGATGATTCATAAACACCCCTACAGTAACTGAATCCTCTCGCCATGAAAAAATAGCCAGATCTCATCCACATCATAGTTCATATACAAGCAGCCATTTTATTAATCTGATCAGCTAAATGATGCTTTACTGAAGCTATTTACAATTACTGTAACAAAATTCAGAAAGCTAGACTTTTAGCCTAGGGTGTCAGTGGTATCTCAAGCTACGCAATGCAGCTCTTTACTGGGCTTATACAATTTAGAATTTAGTGCAGCAATCTTCCCGACTCTTAAACTTCAAAACAGCATAGTTATATGTAGTAGCCATCATGTAGATCAGCTGGTGGAAGAGAACAAAACAAGGAGAGTAAGATACAGCAAGGTGACGGCTCAAGCCCACTTGGGCAACTGTTGATACTTTTACAACAGACGTTATCCTGAGCTTCTTCCAGGGTGAAGATGCAAGGGAGGCAACTTGCTGCCCACCCAGAGGGGAGAACCTACCCACAGGCTGCCTAAGGGTAGTTCAGCACCAAATCCTGAGTATTGCACCTGGATTTGGCTGACGTGTGGTCAGAAGCTGGCAGCTAGAGGAAGTGTTACGTCATATAAGTTAAGTCATCTTCTTAACATCCCTTGGAATTTCCAGCTGCTGCCTGTAATGGGCATTGCAGAACTGGACTAGTCAAACTGCCCGAGTCCAGACAAAAAAACCCAAGAGGTAACAAGCGGTTGAGCAAAACCAACTACAAATATGAAAAGAAATAGTGGACATAAAACCAGAAGTAGTGAAGAGAAGTAGGATTTTCAAAGGCCGTGCAAAGAATTTTTTTCTAAAGGTGGGGAAGGTGGGTTAAGATGACTTCTTAAAGCAAAAGTTTGGGACCTGCTGACTTGTAATGACCAAACTGTAGTAGCAAATAGCGGCAATTACTGTTCCGCCCTCCATCATATCTACTTTCACTGTTTTTAAGATACACAAATTTTTATCTAAAAGCATCTTAAGCCTGAAAGGAACACATCACAATAAAACAACAAAAAAATGCTACCCACCAATGCTATGACAGTGGCACCAGCTCCAGCACAAGCCACAATGAAGAGGTGGTACGACATGTAGAACTAGAGGAAAAAAACATGTTAAAAACATTGAAGTAATTTGGGATAGTATAAAATGCATTTCAGCTGTTCGAGAGAGTCAGGATAATAAAACCACTTTTGTAGCAAGATATTCAAAGCTTTAGAAAATAAAAAATAATTTTAATTTTCTGGATGACTTAACCCAGAGTAATTTCACCATTGTGTTTACATCAATCTCTCTATACTGTTAGTGGTTTTCCCCAGAAACTTTCATCAAGTTATTTATTACATGGAGCTCAAGCGGCTCGGAGGCCAAAGCTGCACACGGGTTGTGTGTTTGTACCTCATTCGTGTTGCAGATGTTCTCTAAAATCGGGCCACAGGCTTTGCCAGGTACAGCAGTCCAAGGGATAATACCTGAAACACCAGAGCAAAAGAAACCACTAGTGTTAGGCACCAACACACGCTTCTGTTCCTCTCCTCACCCTTCCCACCCACTTGCCAGTTGTGTTCCCGTTCTGGGCACCCGCCCATTGACCAGCACGGCTTTGAGCTGGCAGGAGGAATCCAAACAACTCACTCAAGTTGTGCTTTCTCCTTTTACTGAGGCTGGCTGCCAAGGCATGTTCTCAGATGTGGTTTTCCCATATGGCAGCCAAATGGTTGGTTGGGTTTTTGCTCTTCGGGTCCAGTCACATGCTGCCTACTCCCCCACTCTGCGCTGAACGGGATAATCTGCCTCTCAGAGGTACTTGGCACCTTTCAGGATAGTGCCTACTTACTAGCTTAACTTCTGCTTGAACAAGGAACCCCTGTAGAGGAGTGTGCATATGGAGCTAGAAGGAAGAATTATGGAAGGATTCCTTCTGGTGTAGTTCCAATAGATAAAAAAGCATTAAGTGAACAATGCTACCAGAAAATGTGGTCTGCCATATCTCCAGGACTCCCAGTTACTTTCTTACACAACTGAAAAATCTGAAAAGTCAATTGGATCTAGAAGGTTTAAAATAACGTAAACTTTTAGGGCCATAACAGATGTAAAGCTTAAGCAAAAGCCATTTGAAACAGGAGAAGACCAGTTTGTCTTCCTGCTACAACCTGCATTTCAAACTTGGCTGGTTGGAATTAGCAGCTCTGTAAGAGGCAGGTCACTGAAATTATGGTTTCAAAAAGGTTTTGTAGGATTTACTTTAAAGCCATCTTCTACTCTGCAACTGCAATAGACACTTGAAGCCTTTTAGCTACCCAAAAATATGAAGACAGTTCAGTGACACAAGTTGCCTGTTAAGGAGCTGCTCCATTGCATCAGTCATTGAAACCCAAATTATTTTACTGATCAGAGGAACAGCACAGTCCCACACGGCACTCGTACAGCTGCAGAACAACCAGGAGAAGCAGAAAGGTGGAGGAGGACATCTGCTCCCCACGCTTTGCTGTTGAAGGAGAAGTCTTCCCAGCCTCTTGCTGTCAGTTGCTAAAACAGGACGCAAACATTTAGATGATTTGGGACCTCTTGCTTTTAAATTAAGTGTATCTTATCTTCCCCTGCTGGACATGCAGCCCGGATAGGAAAGCCAATCCAAGCTTTCTTACTTTTCCAACTCTGAATCCTTATTCTCAGTTTTGAATTACTTAGTCTGGAGAGAGAAACATTCCTAGAAAATGTTAGCTAAAATGAAGCCAAAAGTAACAGTGGCAAAACTTCTGCACAAGGGAAGCTGAAAAGATTAACTCCAGGAAAATCTCACCTTCAAGGAAAGAACTACTTGAAAGCCTGACCCTATTTTAAGCTATGGTCCCACTCCTCTGCTACCTGCACCCCCCTCGGATTTCTGTGTCATCAGAAAGCAGAAACCATTAATTAATTAATATTTTAGGCAGAATCGTGATGGCAGGTTTTTGGTCTTTTAACAGAAGGTAATCGTTAGAGCAAGGTTCAGGTGTTAACCTCATATTTAAATGTAAAAGCAGCTTTTTGAAAGCAAAGACTATATGCATAAGGGTTCAAAAACCAGAACATGGTTATCTGTTTCTCAGTGCTGTTTCTAAGCATTTTATTTTGAGGCTGATCTATTTTTAAACCTAATATTACAGTATTGGAAACCTCTACAAAATCATTTCAGATAAATGACTTGCCAGCTCAGTCAAATTGATTGCATCTGGGAAGACATCAGTGTAATCTGAATTAATTAGGAAAGTAATGGCATATTCAGAGATAGAAGGTGCTTTTGCATTTGGTGCTACTTTGATAAGGCTGAGGCACAAACTACTGAAGGCAGACCAAGGAGGAAGGATGAAGCACTGAATCAGGGTGAAAACGCGTACCGTACTGCCTGATGTCCACGCAGATCTGCTCCCCTGGAACCGTCACGTTGGTCTGGAGAGATTTGAGGACTTCGCAAGTTGACCATATGTTATAGAACATAAAGACAGGCACAGCAGAGAAGCCAAAGACCCCAAGCCAGGCCACTCCAAGCACATAGGTGAGGAAAACAAACTGGGCAGAGAGAACACAAGCACTTCACATTTATTCCTTGAAAAGGGTACTTGAAATTTTCTTAAAAATGCTTAAAAATAATCTTTAAGCATGCTTTCAGAAATCAAGTAAGAAAACATTTGATTTCCGAGCACAAATAAAATCAGTATTCTCATTCCTTACAAATATGTTGGTAGTTTAAGTGCTACTGAGAAACTAATTCAGGCATTTCCTTTTTCATCAGCCTGCTTGAGTAAGCAGCTTGCCTCCTGAAAGAGCAGCCCATTCATTTCTCAAGATTCTTAGCTAAGCAGGGATGCTGGTTGTAGGGTAGAATCAATAAAATTCCAGCAAAAATCAATTTAAAGAGTTTTTTTAATTAACTGTAACAAACTAGCATTACTACACAACTTGCAAATCAAAACAATAGAGCGAATCAATGCTCACAGAGCTCTCCCATCCTCCCTGATTTATTGAAATCAATTTTGAATGTAATATTTGCGAATATCAGTTTTTGAAAACATACCACAACCATTCCAGCAGATGAGGATTCACTTATCTAATACACATTGCCAAGAAGAAAATCAGTCACCTTAGAGAATCATGGATTTTCCATTGAAATTTCCTGGCTTGGTTTTGCTCTTTTTTTTAAAAAAAACCAAACAACTACTATTTTGTGCATTTTCTTTGGTACGATTATAAAGTATGGCACTCATTGCTTTGGAGATCTCCAGCTTCCTCCTCCCCCTGGACTTCTTCCCTTTTCCCTCTTCTTCTAAGTTTTATGGTGAAACAGTAGCTCTGGCATCAGTTCCTAGCTCCCTCCTCCTGGTGAGACTAGGATTTGGATCCTACCTGGAAAGCGGGGGAACAGTGTTCCATCCTGTGTGTTCCCTTTCCACTGCCACAACTGTAGGTGGATTGGAAAGGCTTTACTGCCCCTAAAGCACTGGTGCTGCACGACCTCACTTGAAACGCGTGTGCCAGAGAAGAGCAAGGATGGGAAAGGCTCCGAGGGTGAGGCTGTCTCAGCCTGGCCCAGGGCACATGGACTGAACTCATGCTGCAGCAGTGGAAGTCTGTGTCCTCACAGGTTTTTGTTGAACGGCTGAACACCACCACCACGTCCCACAGCAAAGGGTGAGCAAAGGTCAGGTTCTACAGTCAGCAAAGGTGGGGCACATGGGGAGGCAGAAGTGCAAAACTAAGGCCCAGAGAAACCCCAGCTAGCCTTTAATTTATACACAACCGAACTGAAATACCCTGTTTTGTATTAGTGCTGTACACCAGATCTGTATGTTTTAGAGGAGGATTGAGATTTCTCTCTTTGGATTTTGGTAAGGGCCAAGTGGACCCGTTTAAAGGATTTCTAGAGGTGCACTATACATAAAATGTGTTTGTGTACATGGACATGGAAAAGTGCACAAGAGGAAGTACACAAAGCATTTAGCTCCTCAAATAGACAGGAAAACCACACTCACTCTCACGTTTAATGTGATAACTGTGGGAAATGGCTATTCTGCATTACCACAGCCAACACAAATAATTTAGGGAAGTTGCAAGTCTGTCTTCTCTTAATAACCTTATTCAAGATGGAAGCGACTGCCTTCCAGGACATTGCTTGGTAATGTAACAGAGGAAGCAGTAAATAAGCTCCTGCTTAGAGAGGCAAAAAAAATCCCTGCATATCCAAAAGCTCGTTGTCCATACCAGGTGCAGCCACTAGTCTGTTAAGACATGAGATCTGCCCACAAAACTGGTTTTAATCCTAGTGTCTTAAGCAGCTCTACCACTACAGAGCAGCATACAGGCATTTTTACGCCATGGCTGTCACCACTAAACACTGGTGTGTCTTACCAGAGCTCCAAGCCATTGCTCAGCTGCTAAGTTCTCTCCTTCACTGGGTAGACAAATATGGGCAAACAGGAAAACACATTTCTGTCATCTTTCCATCTATCAGACTGGTATTTGTACAAGCAGCTGACAATCATCTGCCTGCAATACTCAGCTGCACAAGCAATTGTCTGTCCTAAGAGATGCACATACAAAATACAGCAGAAACAAACACGTATCTCTGGAAAACACTGCTTTAGAACTAATTTTGCTCCGCAGTGAACATCACACTTACTATAAAAAAAGCAAGCAAATAGCTTCTTAATTGGTAAATGATTTGGTGTCTTATTTTGATTAGCTCTAGAAAAATTCATTAAGTACCCAACAGCAGAGTGGAAAATTGTTAGCCCTCTTGAAGACAAAGATTCATCTCTTTTGTATTTAACCAGCTGAAAGTACATATTTTTTAACTACAGGACATAGACTGTATATTAAAATGCAACAGTCACATCAAAAGCCTCTTCTCCTGTCACCCACACTTTCCCGTGGGCGATCTGTCATACTGCTTAGCTTCCTCCATAACTATGAGCTTTGGATTCAGATTTTCAGAAATGGCTTTGAAATCCTGTCTCAGAAACACAGTTATGTTTATGTTCTTGCAGAGTGCACCCTAAGGGGCAATGTGGGTGAGACTCTGAAGTTTTATTTTTAGTTAAACTTCGTTTAAAATTTTGTTCTAATACAGAAGTACACTGAAGGGAGGACGGCTTGTAACGCTAAGGCTTGAAGTGTTTCAGCATTGAGAAAAAGACTCACTATTAGATCTGTGTGCCTCCTGCCACCTGCAAAAGCACGACAGCAGTATTTGACTGGAGTGCAAGGCTGTTGGGAAGCTTCATTCATTACTGTTTCTCTGAAGGAGCTGGACACCCTCACGCAGAACTGACTATGGAAGTCAGAGGCCTTGCAGTTTGCTGTTTAACTAGCTCTGCAAACCACAACCATCTTACAGCCTGCCTTTAAGCCTCACCAACATGTTCCATGTTTAAGAGCACAAATTTCATTTTGGCTCGCATGGAGTGTTTTAAAATTAGTGCTCTCCATCAACTTAGTTTAGACCATTGGGTCCAGCTTTATGACATGGGAGGCCACGGCAGCACCTCAGCAGTCCATCTGCAGAATTTGGTTTTGACCAAGCATCCTCAAAGTTCAAAGAAGGACCAGCAGCAGAGATTGACTCTGACCACTCACATGGAGTTAAACAACGGAGGCAGGAACATACTGTTGCTCAGACCCACAGAAGTCAAACCAAGCCCAACAGGTTTGAGCAAGCAAGGTTTTTAACTGTTCCTCTTTCTGATGCTACTCACCATTCCACTGATGCAGCGGCCACAGGCTGTTGTTTTGAACTCTCCGTGCAGCTCCTTCACAGCACTTGTTGTATAAAAGCCTTCTGCCAAAAGGATTATTCCGTACAGGAAGAAAAAGGATGCGATGCCATAAATTACATACTGCATTAGCTGTATTCTGAAGTGAAAGGAAAAAAGATATAATTTGATTTCAGTTCTATAAAACCAAAGTCAGTCCTTCTGAATCATAACTGGTATGAGGTAACTCCTTTTCTAGAAATACAGTTCAAGGCTCCTTAATGCTTTTTAAGCAAGCAGGCTGCGGGAGAGGTCGCCATGGCTACCCCACTTCTACAGGTAAGCAATACTGATGGGCACCAGGCTTGCACCTGCTGGAGCACCCCATCTCTGTGCTGCAGTTCTCACACTGACTGGTATTAGCCACCAGCCTGAAGCTACCATTTCGTGCCTCCACTATGGAGATTTTCTTCTTGTTATTGATCCTTTACTGTGAGGGTGGTGAGACATTGGAACAGGTTTCCCAGAGAGGCTGTGGATGCCTCACCCCTGGAGGTGTTCAAGGCCAGGCTGGATAGGGTTTTGAGCAACCTGATCTAGCGAAAGATGTCCCTGCCCATGACAGGGAGGGTTGGAACTAGATGACCTTTAAGGTCCCTTCCAATCCAAACCGTTCCATGATTCTATAATCCTGACACCTAACTCTGGAACGTCTGACAGGGACAACACAGGGCTTTGAACTGGCAAAGGCTGGAGCTGAACCAGTGGCTGAACTACCAGGTTCCCTGACGACTCCTTTGGTTAGTGAAAGGAACCAGCTTCTGAAATTCACCATTTCCATCTGTAAAATCCAGTTAATGTATGTTTGAGAAAAATCTGTAAATTCAGTGATACTTGTCTGATACAAAACTCAGAAAGTATGTAATGACTTCTCCTGAGGAGAAATGGTTTGCTCTACAGCCTAGTAGGGTAATTCCAAGCGAGCAGGTAGTTTCAGTGCCTTAAATCATGACAGTGTTGAGTTCCCCAAAGCGTAATTAATTTTTAACAACTGAAAGAAATATTTAGGAAATGCTTCCATTTGAGGTACTATACAGCTATCCAGAGGAAGAACATCTCAGGACAGGTGGTACGAGCACTTCCCTTGGATACTGTTTGAGAAAGTTCTTCACAGAATCACAGAACGTTAGGGGTTGGAAGAGACTTCCAGAGATCATTGAGTCCAACCCCCCTGCCAGAGCAGGACCATCTAGTCTAGGGCAGATCACATAGGAATGTGTCCAGATAGGTCTTAAAAGTCTCCAAGGAAGGAGACTCCACAAACTCTTGTTCAAGTGCTCTGGAAGCCTTACAGTAAAGAAGTTCTTCCTCATGTTGAGGTGGAACTTCCTGTGCTCCAGCTTGTGTCCAGTGCCCATGTTCTTGATTGCTTAAAAATCTGCCACCTGCAATGACACTCTTCTGGTATTTTTATTCTGGCTAGGATAGGTAAAGAGAATTAATAATTTCTAAATATTATCAGTCAGATTCTGTATCTGAAGTTAATTGTTTTGGAGGACCAAAATGCCAGACCTTCCATACAATGCCTCTTCAGGTCTCCAAAAGCCATACTTGGTTATTAGCACAACTTCTCCAGAATTTATGCCTCCTTAAAAGAAACTTGATCATTGGGTTGGTTATTTTGGATGAAGCTATTTGCAGAACAGAGAGGTTAATTTTCTCCATCCATACTGCCAGTTTTATAATGATGAATATATTTTTCCTCAGATGTTTTTTTTCAATTTTTACCACTCTCGACTAAATAGCTGCTAGCACAGATCTCTCTCCAAGGAGCATCTGCATGTTTTAGCTTAATTTAAAAAAAAATAAAAATTGATGACTACCATTTATATAGTTTTGTGTTATCCAGACAGATAGCACAGCCCTTGTATCAAATTAGGGTATTGCTCATTTAAAATTATATGTGGGAAGTGTTTTGTTTGTTTTCCAACCTAATCAAAAATAACATGATAAATCTGTTGCACCTGTGCTGTAAAGTATGAAAAAATTAAGTCAGGATATGGAAGAGTACAGAAGAATTCATTTCACCATCATTAACAGTCTAAAAGAGACTTAATGCATGTTACCAGAAATTAGTAATGTAACACCTGGTTAAAAAAAAAAAAAAAAAAAAAAATCTACTCCAAAGGGAGCCTCACTAGTATATTTTTCGTTTATTTTATGTCTCTGTGGCCTTAAATTATTTGGCCTTTTCTAGCACCACTTCTCCCTTGCCTTTCTTGTTAGGCCTGGGCAGAGTCCAAGACCTCAGCTGCTTTGGTACGAATTATGCATTTCCCCAGCTGCTGATGCTGACTTGACAAGAAACATGGTCAACAACTCTCCAAAATTTAAAACTTGCTGCCTCTTATGGAAATTTCTTCTGTTTTGCTCAGAGGAAGACTGATACAAGAACGGAGTGTTTGTTACTTAGTTGTTGAAGAAAAGCTGCTTGCAGTTTTTTGCTAAATTTTGTTGCTAACTGCGTGAGGGGAGACCTTATAGCTCTCTACAACTACCAGAAAGGAGGTCGTAGTGAGGTGGGTGTTGGTCTCTTCTCGCAGGTTACTGGAGATAGGATAAGAAGAAATGGGTTTAAGTTGCACCAGGGGAGGTTTCAATTGGATATTAGGAAGAATTTCCTTACTGAGAGAGTGGTGAGGCATTGGAACAGGCTGCCCAGGGAGGTGGTAAAGCCACCATCCCTAGAGGTGTTTAAAAATGTGTAGATGTGGCACTTGGGGACATGGTTTAATGGTCATGGTAGTGTTGGGTGATGGTTGGACTTGATGATCTTAGAGGTCTTCTCCAGCCTTAATGATTCGATGGTCCTCATGGCTCATGCACTGGAGCTGGGGATGCAGGGCCCACCTGCAGCTGGGGTGTGAGGGTGGGCAGCACCGGGGTGGGGGACCTCGGCAGGGTGTAGAGCCAGAGTCATGTGGTAGGTCTGGGCACAGAGGGTCCTGGCAAGGGGGGGATCCCCTGACACAGTGCTGTAGGACTGAGGGAAGTGAACCCCCGGGGATGGGAAGGGGTCAGTTGTGCCTGCTAACTGGCAGGTCTGTGTCCACAAGGATAGAAAGGGATTTTTCAGTGCCTCAGAAAAGAAAAAGGCAAAAAGGAGAGTTAAGTGTGTTGCGTTGGAGCCTGACAGCGCAGGTCGGGGACCTCTCCAGGGGCCAGCCCCACGCTTCGCTGCGGCCGGGGCTGGGGGGGCGGCCGAGCCCAGGCCCACTCAGCGTCCGACGCCAAGCCCTCGTGAATGGCAGCTCGAGCACACAACCACACAAAAGCCTTTGCAAAGCCTGGCGGTCCAGCTGGAGAGGCCACATCAGGCCCAGGATGTTCAGACCACCAGCCCAGAGCCCAGGACCTGCACATCCCTCAGCGTCGAGGAGAACGAGCAGCTCATGCTGGTGGCACTGGTGCAGAGCGCGGGCCCTGACACAAGCCTCCAGGCCTTCCTCTGGTGTCACTAGAAGCCCTAGGATACAGTTGACTTGCTGGGCTGCAAGTGCACGTTGCTGGCTCACATCCAATATTTTTTTATCCACCAGTGCCCTCGGGTCCTTCCGCACCAGGCTGTTCTCAATCCCTTCATCCCCCAGCCTGTACTGATACAGGAGGTTGCCCTGACCCAGATGCAGGACCTTGCACTTGGCCTTGTTGAACCTCATGAGGTTCGCAGGGGCCTAATCCTCAAAGCTACTGAGGTCCCTTTGGATGGCATCTCTTCCGTCAAGTGAACTAACTTCACCACTCAGCGTGGCGTCATCTGCAAACCTGCTGAGCGTGCAGTTGATCCCACTGTCTATGGCACTGATAAAGATACTAAATAGTATTGGTCCCAATGTAAACAGGTTAAGCAGGACACATACTTGGGTTCTTTGCATGTGAACACCAAAAAACCCGAGTGCTGCTGGATAAACAAGCAACCTAACCCTCACAGACGGAGACTGAGGTCTGCATCCATCTCTACACCTTTAGCATGAGGGCGTTACGAGCAATAATGGAAATGGGAGGCATACTTACACTTCACTCAGCAAAGCATGGTCGCTGACAGTCGTGGAGAAGTGCTGCTCGAGGATAGACACGGTCCCTGTGAGCGCCACGTGGCCGCAGCCACAGAACAATGCTACCCCCGAGAAGCAGAGAATGGTTGCCACGAGCGAAGCATATGGCACTCCTCCTAGGCACTTAATGCAACATTCAAAGCAACCTAAGCAAAAGAGAGAAAGCAAAAGAAACGTTATGAGCAAAATGCAAATGATGAGGAAAAACATATCTGTCCTCCACCTGGTAAAAGCCACAGGGAGTAAAAGGCTCAGGCACTGACATGCTAAGCAAAAATCTATAGGTGGTGCAAGACAGCGTCACCCTCTAAAGCAGTGACCTACAGATCTATTGGTATGGACTCAAAGCCCAGAAAGTGGGCTGAGTGCTCCTAACTTTATAGGATCAAGAGGAGATCGATGAGACAGGCTATGAAATGGAAAAAGAAAAAAACCCATCACTTGTCTGAAGTGATCCACTGCGATTCAGTTGCTCACATAGAAGTCACCACATTTCAGCGTTACCAAGGGCAGAGACATCAGCTCTGCTGGCACCATCCAGGAAGCCAGAGACGCAGATATTCAAGACAATGGAGCCTTTTGGAAAAGTAGGAGATACTTTGCACTTTCATTGGAGGAGGAACACGTTTGGTTCTGAAAAAAATAACATTCTCCCATGGCTCCCAAATACCTTTTTATATAAATCCATAAGAGGTTATAGGGATAGAAATATTTTAACAGCCAAAAAACAGAATGGAGGCCAAAGAGTCGCAGTTTTTATCGAGAGCAATAGATGAAGCTGTATTACACCAACAATACAATTCCAGCTTTACGGGATATACCAGCTTTACAGTGATCCCTGAATACAGTTGCCATGAGCATAACTGTAGTTTTAATGAAATGTATCATTTAAGCAGCCTGAGGAACAAAACACCCCCCCCCAGAACTGCTGTTCTACAAACACGGTAACAAGGAGGTTGCAGTTGAATTTCCAGGTTCCTTCCAACCACGTGGCCTGGAAACCTATCTGCCTGTAGAGCTGGGAGATGTAAATGGGAAACAAACAGAGCTTTTAACTGCGCTATAATGGCAATGGCAATCCATACCAATTCATTACTTCAGGGTGATGGCATTAAGCTGTCTCCATTAACGTGCATTTCATACAACTGCACAAAACACAGGCCGTTTAGACAACGCTTAATGGAGCGACCAGCGCTGCACGTCACAGGGATGGCTCCCGAAGCTCCTGCTGCTGTGTGAAGCTGCTAAAGGGACAAGGCATTTGAAGGCTGGGAGACAGCTGGCGAACACATACATCGTATCACATCTGCCCGCCCCAAAAATTCCTCATAAAGATCAGCAAGTCTCCATTCACCACACGAAGCAAGTTTATTTTTATCCTCCTTCCTTCCCCACTAATGAAAGAGTTACAGAGCAGACACTTCTGCGAAGTGCTGGGGAATAATATGCATCTGATAATTGAAAGCTTTCCCATCTCATGAGTGGGAGACTCTTCTTTCAGAGAGTCACTAGCAAGTGGCCTCGTCAGGCTTAAGCAGCTACCATCACCAAAATGATTACCAAATGCCACTTTGCTAACTGACTTAATCGTAGAGAAACAAAGCCTGGGAAGCTTTCATAGTCAAGCCCACAGCTGGAGTCCCCTCAACAGGAACTATCTTCCCAACAAAAGCACTGCCTAGTGAACAAACAGCAGCTTAGCAGTGACAGGGCAGACAAAATCCAAATGAGTGCTGTCAGAGGAAATCATCTCTAGTTTTCATCTTATCACAGAGGTCCAGAGTCAAGCTCAGGCACCAGACCTTGCAGAACGATCCTCTGCTTTGGGAAATCTGTCTGAAGGGAGGTCACAAGCCACATGTCAGATGCAACAGCAGTCATACACGTGAGGCTGGCTTGCCTCTGCAGCATCTGCTCCTGGGTCAGGCCCAAACCTCTGAGAGTTAATCCAAGAAATGCTTGTACCTAGCGCAGGATTAGCAGTGAGGGATTATCCAAGAGTAACCACACTCTGATCCAGCAAGCAACACACGAGTGGCCGCAACCCAGCACAAAACAAACAGCCTTTCAGGCCACACTCTGAAAGGAGAAGGTGACTAAACACTAGATCATCGCTTGGTGTAGAGGAGGTTAATCACCTAATCATGCAGATCCACGGATTGCTTTGCAGAAGGATGCCATCCAAGACAGGAAATAAAAACAGGTGGAAGCAAAGCCATGGGACTGACAAAGTCCAAAAAAAAAGCTGCTGGTTTCAGAAAATGGGAGCAGCCTCCTTGACAAAAGTAAAAACTGGTATAGACCCAGGATTGATGATTAACATGCCCCAGCTAGGTACTTGTCCTCTCCGTACCCTACACTCAGCTCTTCAGTCCACTGGCAGAATCACAGAATCACTATGGAAAGGACCTCTAGGATCATTGAGTCCAATCTCCAAGGATCATTGAGTCCAATCTCCAAGGATCATTGAGTCCCAACATCTCCCTAACCATTAGACCATAGCCTCAAGTGCTACATCTACTTGTTTTTTAAACACCTCCATGGATGGTGACTTCACCACATCCCTGGGCAGCGCACTGCGGTGCCTAATCACTCTCTCAGTACAGAATTTCTTCCTAATCTCCAATGAAAACCTTCCCTGATGCAACTTGAGGCTATTTCCTCTCATCCTATCATTAGTAATGTGGGAGAAGAGATCAACACCTGCCTCACTACAACCTCCTTTTAGGTAGCTGTAGAGAGCAATAAGGTCACCTCTCACACTCCTCTAGACTAAACAATGCCAGTTGCCTCAGCTGGCCTTCATAAGGCATGTTTTCCAGACCTCTCACCATCACCAGAACATCCACCCTGAAGAGTCTGTTGGATTCCTTACTCCAACACACGACAGGATCTGCAGGCACTGTCAGACCGTGGAACAGAGGCTGACAGTGGCAAACCCCCTCCCAACGGCTGGCAGCAGCACACAGCATCTTTGTGGCCACTCTCTTTAGGTCTTCCCCTACAGCCCAAGTAGAACGGCATCAGAATATCTGGGTGGCCTTTTTTATTTAGTTTATCAGTGCAGACCACAGCCAAGGGACACCCTAAAAGGTGTCTAAGGCAGCCACACTATTTTGAGCAAGGCAAAGAAAACTGCCCAAGTGTGGAACTGCAGAAGCTACCTGCCCTGGCAGCAAGACGGAAGCAGGGCGCAGAGGGACCGCGGTCCACAGGGGAAGGGCACGCTGCCAGCCTGCACGTGCAGGAAGCACCCCAAAGCAGTGTCCAGGAGCCAGCATCCGTCTGTACGCAGCCATTCTGCCCCCAAACTGACAGCAGAGCTGCACAGCCTCCTGCCAGAGGGTAAGTAACTGCAGGGCACAATCTCATCCCTGCGCTGGGGCTGCCAGACGCCCCGCAGGTCCCACTGTGAACACTCTTTATGAGCAGCATAAACCCATGCCTAGCCTGAGCAATATAGTTGGTTTTATAATTTTGTTTTGAAGCAAGCCTAGAACAGTACTGCCAAGAGCAGCTTTCAAAAACAGCTAAAATTTGAAGCTCATTGAGCACTAAGGTATGATTACCAAGATTCCAAAGCAAGCACTGAAGCAAATCAGAGGATTTCTGAAAAAAATTACAGCCTTCCAGGAAACCTGCTTTGTGCTCTCTCTTTGTAACCCCAAGTCAGAAAGTATCTTCACACAGTACAACTGAAAACTCATGGTGATGTTTGCCTAGCTCAAGTTCACAAAATAACCTGCTAACGCACCAATGACAACTGCAGGCTGAAGGTCTGTGAACTCAAGTGGACAAAAAGTGGGATTAAAATAAGTTTAGTTGCAATTTTCTGCTAGTTTTTCCTTCCCATATAGCCAACACACTGGACTTTTCAGCTGTATATCCACTTCCAACAAATTGTGTAAAACGATTTAAATATGAAACTGTACAGCACAAACACACATCACTGCATCTCCCCTTTCAATGGCCATTTTGTGCAAGGCATCACTAGAACCTTTTGTGCAACTCAACAGAATAAAAACATTTTTTGTCCTCAGGCTGGCGAGCAGCAGTTGCCATGGAGGCAGGTTAATAACAGCCCAATGATTTGCCTAGAGCTGCCTGTGATCTTGGCTACAGATTTAACACACTCTCAGAAGGAGGCCAGCTAAAACAAGGACTGAGATTATTCTCTAGGGAATGAATGCTATTAAACACACACACACACACAAATATTCTTGCTAACGGACAAAAATAAAGAGAAGAGAAAAAACAGGAACCGGCTATTCTTTTAATCTCCTGGAGACTATCAGTCACAGGAAATGGGTAAAGGATGGACCTACACATGTACACAGATAGGCAATTGGTTGCTTAATGTGTGAAGAACAATTATACAACCTACCCAGAAGTGTTATTGCACATATGCAGGGGCTTAGCCACCCAATTTCCCATGTCAAATGGCAGTTGTGTGCCTAAACCTTCTTTGGTACTTTAAGTATGGCTTCAAGATTTACACTCAGAAAAGCAAGATAATGCAGAATTAATGGAAAGTGGTCTTAAAAACAAAACAAGAAAGCAATTCTCAGACTCTAACTCACTCTACTAAGGTCAAGGTGGAGTGGAATGATGAAATCTGTGCTTTGGAAATGACAAAAGACAATGCAATGGGATCAGGTAGCTGTCTCAAGTATTCCCATGGCTTGTTCTAGAAGTTCACACCTAAGCTCGTGAAGCCCAGACTTCAAAACCAAAAGAGACACATGTTGACAAAGCCATCCCTCAAAATGAAGCATGGAAAACATGAGGTAAGGGAGTGTCCACACCTCCTGGACAGAAAATCAGCCTGTCCTCGAGAGTCCTGAAGTCCTGCTAGGTTGAACTAGTGCCTCAGTGTATCTCTGGTACAAATGACTGATCCCATAGTCAAGGTCACTATGGGGAAAAAAAAAAAAAAAAACCCAAGGAACAAAGGAAGCCTGAAAGGAGGCTTGAAAAGCTCTCCATTTTAAGGAGCTAAACCTTCAGGCTCCTGTGGATGTTTTCCAAGTTAGTTCCCACTCTCTTCTCCTTAGAAGTTTTGCTTCTTCCCCTCACATAAATCTATCTTGCTGTTCTGCAAGTTGAAGCAACGGGCACGATTTTTTCTCATCAGTTACTTCCTGTA